GATAGATAGATAGATAGATAGATAGATAGATAGATAGATAGATAGATGTTTGATTATTTGTTCAATCATTCCCAGATTGGTATTTTAAATATAATTCATACTTTTCTTACTTACCTTTTAATGTCCATAACCTTAAACCTCTTTGTTGAAGAGGAAAATTTTAACTGCATACTAACTTAAATACATTTAAAAATAGTTACTCCAATGGTCTCATGCAAGTTAAATGACAGTGGAGATTCCTGGAGTGTCTGGACTATGTTGTATGAATATGATTTGCGGTATCCATTTGAAGATGTATTTTTCTTATATATTTACCTCATTTTTTATTCATGCTCACAATTGTTTAAATGGCATAATTAAGTGAGTGCATTTGTGGATTTTATCTGGTATTTTTTATCAATACAAATTTAGTGCACATAATCAAAATATGTTCTTATGGTTTTCACATAGAAATTCTTGGAATCTAATGTTACTTTATTAAATGAAGCAAAAACTATTTCATAGTACTTAAAATCAAACTACCTTCATAACACCATGTTTGCTTTAAATTTTAACATCTCTAGTAAAGTGATCAGAACTATGTGTGATTTGAAAAATCACTGCAGAGGTGGGCTGCTGTCGGTTTGCACAGGTTCTGGCAAATTGGTAGTTAACAGTAAGGGCAGTTCAGCGAACTGGCAAATCCCACCACTGGCTGGTTCCGCCCCCGCCTGTTTTGGGGCTGTTTTCAGGGCTGTTTTCAGGCTGTTTTTGGAGCCATTTTCAGGCCAGTTTTCTGGGCCAAAAGCAGCCTGAAAACGGCCCCAAAACAGGCTGAAAATGGCTCAAAAATGGCCTGAAAATGGTCCCAAAATGGCCTGAAAGTGGCCTAAAAAACCGGCCCCAAAACAGGTGGGGGTGGGGCCAGAGCCAGCCAGTGGTGGAATTAGCCCAACCGGCCAAATCCTAGCTCTTCCTTTGAGGGGAGTGGCCAGGAGGCAGGGCTGGGTATGATGAGTGACATTACCCATCCAGTCACATGACCAGCCATGCCTACCCAGCCAGAGAACCGGTTGTTAAAAAATTTGCAGCCCACCACTGAATCATTGGTATACATTGTACTAGATGTATATTTTTTTCTTCTTTTTTCAAATGATCCATCTTTCTCCCAATATAATTTAATCAAAATATCACTACAGTATAAAGTCATTTTTTAAAAGATCTGCAATCCATCTTTTTTATATGTTGAGATTATTCAAAGACTAATTTATAATAGTATTGTAGTGGGAAAAAACTAGTTTGGTCCAGTGAATTCACTTCTAGTTTATTATTTGTTAATGGACACTTTATTTGTTAATAAAGTATCCCTGATTAAAATATTTAAAAATATAGTTTAAGTACACAGAATCTGCTTCTGATGAAATAGTTTTTCCAAACAAATTATTGCTGGATCCAGAGAAAGTTACACATTCATTCATTAGTTCAATTTATAAAATGTGTCTATTTTCTGCTGAATCTAGAATTGCATATTTTATTTTAGGTATAACATTAGGGATTGTATAAAATATTTTCCAAATTGGTGTATTTTTGTTTCTTAACAGACCATAAACCAGGATTGAACTTTTTGGTATTATTTTTGTATCCTGAGTATATTTGATGTAGTCTGGGATTAGGATCCCTGTAAATTAATTCTTATTTTGTTTTTTAAATCAGTGGAATTTTATTTAAAATATCATAAAAAGTAAAACTCTGCTAAATCTTTTATTTTACTGTCTTCATGAAAGAGTGATAGTATATTATCCCATTCAATTTTTTATTGTAGGAAAAGATCCTAATAAGTAGCAGCCTTGTGTTTAAACATAATTATTTTAGGAACTCAGAAAATACATTCAGCTGACGGCCCACAATCTTTTGAAGGGAAATGAGCAGGCTGACTAAGAAACTAGGGCTAGAATTTAAGCAGACTGCACAAAGTTCCCATCACAAAAAAATGATTGGACTGTTTCAGGAAGGACAAAACTTTCTGATTCTTATTTCCCAACCTTTTGCTGGTTAGTAATTGTCTGTCATTTTGTTTGTACGGCTAAATTGCAATAGTGTTTAGTATTTTATCAGTATTTTTAACCATGACCGGTTCCATGTACTTAATAGTGATTTTGTTATTTCTTTAAGGAGATGCAAATCTTCAGATTGCCACTATTTCAGAAGAGTTAGCTAAGAAGACTGAAGATGCTGCCCGACAACAGGAAGAAATCACCCATCTTCTCTCTCAGATAGTGGATTTGCAGAAAAAGGCAAAAGCTGTAGGTTTATGATTTAGCCACAATATGATGCAATCTTTTTTATCCTTTACTTTTGGATAAAGTCCTTTAAATCTTGAAATAGAGAAATCATGGAATATTGTAATGCTTTTGCTGTTGATCTTTTTCCAGTGTACGGTGGAAAATGAAGAACTTGTCCAACATTTGGGAGCAGCTAAAGATGCCCAAAGGCAACTCACAGCTGAAGTGAGTAGTAATCAGGATTTAAAAACAGGAAAATTGTTTTTGTCCAGTTACATTTTATTTTTATATCAGAAGAAAGTTTTTATTAAAAATTAATATTTATATGTTTTTGCATTCAGATTTTCTTGATTCCACATAGGATTGAAAACCTTTACTACGAACATGACATACTATATATTTTTTTACCCTTTTCCCTTTATTTATGTTTTTTTTTCTCTCCCTGACTTTTGATATATACAGAAAGGTAATTTTATTTGGCAGAAAAAGGCATAGCAATCCACATTCCTTCAGCATGTTAGAAATCCAAGAAGTACAGTGGACAGACTCTTTATAGCCTCCATCTGCACAACATTCTCCCAGGACTTTGGGGCTATTCTGAGATTTAAAACCTCTTTTGACACCTTTGATATTTTTTTAGAAACAAGAATATAAGCAATACAACTGGACATCATAACAATGATGCAGCTTTAAAGCTCACTCAGTATGGAGAAATATACAATTTGCCCCAGCTAGCTAAATAGCTGTTCTGCGCTTTGTATGTCTTGTATGTAAAAGGGGAAAAGAAGACCACACCACCAACTTCTTGCCAAATGTTCATTTTGCCAATACAATACAATATAAATGTTCATTTTGCCAGTTGCTTTTTGAAATGAATAATAGTAATTGTCTTAGGAACCAACTATTTTATTTAATCTATTATACCAGTGGTAGTATTCAAAATTTTTTACTACCGGTTCTGTTGGTGTGGCTTGGTGGGTTTGGCATGGCTTGGTGGGCGTGGCTTGGTAGGTATGACAGGGGAAGGATACTGTAAATTTTCCATTCCCTCCCCAGCCCACTAACCAGCTTTCCGGTTCCGTTCTCCTGTGCGGGGCAACAAAAGAAGACCCTGCTGATCAGCTGGGACTCGAGAGGCAGAGAATAGATGGGGATGGGGGCAATCAAAGGTGGTATTTGCCGATTCTCTGAACTACAATTAAACTAAAATTTCCGCTACTGGTTCTCCAGAACCTGTCAAAACTGGCTGAATACCACCTCTGGTATATACTTCCTATCTACTTTTCTCTGATTGTTTAGCTAGTGCACTTATTAATGCAGCAGCATTAAGAATTTGCTTTCTGGACAAGTAGTAATTATGCAAAACATAATTATGTGTTTGGAGAAGATGGAGAGAATAAGGATCCTTTCATTTATTGTATTCTTCTAACAGTATATAGAAAATCTGTTGCAGTCTTTATGTAGAAAAAAGAATTTTCAAATGAAAACTACTAAAAAAACCCAAATTAAAACATATTTATTCTATGGGGTTTTTAGAAAACCTAATATCCTTCTCTTCCAAATACAATTTTTTGTTACCTTAAGTACTTCAGAAATTTTTGGGGAAAAAATGAAATTTAATCAGGATAAAGATTGGATTTTTCATGTGTATCTGTTTGTGTATATCATCTGAAAATTATTTTAGCTCAACTGAGGGCTGTTGTTTCTAAGATGAATGTATTCAAACATCAAATTATTAAACATAATTTTATATATTAATGGAAACAAGCTATACTGAAGAAGAGTGAGATTTATTTAAAAAGCCAGCATGTCTAGGATTGTGTTACAATTAAAATAGGAAGGGCTCTTCGCCTGACATTAGGTATTTGGACTTCACTCTTGACATTGCTTTTCTCTTCTCTGAACCATTTGTTGTATAAATTGTTTCTGAATACAGTATATAAGAATCAAATTGAAATCAATTGAAATTCAACTGTCATGGACAGGAAATCAAGAGTTCAGGCAGTTTGAATGCTAAAGCTCTCTACAAGAATCTGAACTACTAATAATCAAAGCAAATTAGCGGCAGATAAGAATCAACAGTATTCAACATGGGCTGGACTTAGAGCTCTTGTGGGCATGAGAGGACTTGAGACTGATGACATGTTTGACCCCTCTCTGGGGCTCTCCCTGATCATTTCCTACATCAACACTGAATACAGATTATTTATGGTGGTGACTAGTTAAGTAAATAATATGCATTGCTAGCTAAAAAAAATTAAAAGATGGTTAGCTACAAAGTGGTTTGATCAAGAATTAAGTGGGCAACCTGTGACAGTAACCAGTGAGTTTCACATGGTGAAGTTTGTTGAACTGATTAAAGATAATCAGAAAAGCACTTAAAGGGAAATTTTTGTCAAGCTTGGCATTTCACAAGAAAATTTGAATCATATTACTGATGTTCTTCAGTATCAGATGGTTTGTGCAACAAGAATTCCTTCCATGCTGACAGCAGAGATAAAAGAATCAGGAATTCAAATTTATCAGCAATTGTTATCATGCTTATAAGATGAAGGGTGAGAAATTTCTTCATGATGTTGTGACAGCCAGATATGAAGCATCAATCTATTGAATACAGGAAGCTTCACTACAAAATAAAAAATAAAGACAAAAATTTGGCAGGAAAACTTTTAATTACAATTTTTTGGAATGCAAACTGCATGAGTCACATGAATTTTCTTTAACCTGGCACTTCAACTCAGAGTACTACATTGCAGCACTCAAAACTTTGAAATAACAATTAAGCAGAACTTAGAAACACATTTTTCCCTACAACATGGTAGCATTAGGCTTCATTTCTCATGAATCATTCAAGAAGCAGTTGCAAAGTTGAATACTGTCATCTTACCTACACAACACATGCAGACCTGGTGCCATGTGACTTCCACCTTTCTCCAAAATTGAATAAATACTTTTGTAGGCATCAATTTGATTGAAATGAGAAAGTGAAAAGGACTTTGAGGACTGGTTGAAAAAAAAAAAGTGTGGAGTTCTTTCATGACGGGTTTAAGAGCTTCTCCCTTTTGTGCAGTAATGTGTATTGAATATGTGGAGATGTAAATACAAATAGAAACTATTGGTGACTGTGTGGATCATCGAAACAGCTGTTATCCAAACCTGCAAGTCACCATCACGTATGAAGTAGGCCGGGTACCTTTCCTGGATACATTGATCATACAAAGGATTGATGGCTTCATTAAAAAATGGTATATATAAGAAGTCAACATGATCTAGCCAGTATCTGAATTTCACAAGATTTACACCAATTAAATATAAATGTGCATTGGTACAGACACTATTTATACAAATTTGCACTGAGGATTGTTTAAAAGAAGAACTAGAACTGTTAACCCAAACACTCTGCTCAAATGGTTATCCATTTGATTGACAGGCACACTAAAATAAGAGAACCAAAGCCAAGAGTTCCAACTACCAGTAAAAAGAAGGTATTTATTGAGCTGGCCTTTAAGGGGGATCAATTAGCACACCTGACAACTCAATGTTTAAATATTTTAATTAAAGCAACATTCAGTACGGCTGAGCTTCACATATTACGTCAAACACTTCATCAGCGCCAAAACTCATTGTTTACCAATTTGTTTGTAATTGCAGAGACAATTACATTGGCAGAACTGATAGGTGTTTATCTTTCAGAATAAAGGAGCATCTTCAAAATGGGTCCAGTCTTGAGTAATACAACAACAACCACAAATCATAGCCATAAAATGCCTACTTCGGCCATTGTGACACATTTACTATCTACAGGCCATCAGGTGGATCCAAACTCTGTGCTTAAAGTTTTATTGTGGCACAGAAACTCTTGTTTCCTGTGGTTTGGTGAGGCAATCGTCATTAATCATTTGAAACCTCCCTTGTGCGTGCAGAAATGGCTTTATGTCAATCTATGCCTTCTGTGGGTATAAGGTTTGCCATTGGTTGCTTTCCTGCATACCTTATAGACTTAATGCTCTTGCTAGATCTTACATTTGACACCAATTTTAACTGTGTTATTGTAATGTAGGTGTCAACCTTGATTTGGCCTGACAGAAGTCATTTTTGACTGCTTCAGTGTTGCCACACTGGAGCTGATAGGGAGGGGGGATTTGAGATATTTGGAATTTTGTAGCCAAAACAAAACATTTTCTCTTGGGAACCAAGGAGATAGGAATTCCTGCCACCCTGATCACTGAATCCATACAGTTAGAGATGGGCCGTCAGTTAGCTCATTTGGTTCGTGGTGGCACCAAAAATGACTGAAATGATCATCCTGGGGTTGGGCTGGCTAGATAAATGGAGTCCTACCATCTCGTGAGAAAATGGCTACCAGAAAATAAAGCTGGAACTAGGTCCCCTCTCCCGTTCTGACCCTGCAGGGAAAGGAATAGTCAGGCCGCTTGAAGGTGAAAAAGTAGCTGCTATCACAGAGATGCAGCCAGGAAGCCTCCAGGTCCCCAGAGAATACCTTGACTTGGAGGAAGGGTTTAGTGAGGAGAAATGCAATGCCCTACTGCCTCATCATCCCACAGACTGTGCCATAGAGTTCCTGCCAGGGGCCAAACTGCCCAAGCCGAAGTTGTACTCCATGACCCCAAAGGAGATGACTGAATTAAGGGACTACATCGACACTAACTTTCCTGATGATTTATACAACCTGATAAATCCAAGTAATCACCCCAGTCCTCTTCAAAGAGAAAATGGGTCAATGAGATTATGTACTGATTTTAGGAGTATTAATGCAGTGTGCATGGAAAACACCCACTGCCCTTCATGAAGGACATGCTAGCCCACCTAGCAAAAGGGAAGGTATTCACCAAACTAGACCTGCGGGAGGCTTCTTGTAGGGTGCAGATGAAGGCAATGAGTGGAAGACTACCTTTAACAGGTAGTTTCCAATTCAAAGTGATGCCTTTCAGGCTACAAGGAGCCCCCAGCAGTCTTCTCATTATGCCTGAGACTTTAGAACTGTGATGACGCACATGTTAATTGGCCTGGAACAGAGGCACTGTGCATGCATGCGCGGTTCCTGACAGCCAGCTGATTGTCAGGTACCTGCCACGCATGTGCGGGGCACATGCAGAAGACACACACATGCACAGAGTATGGTGTGGGGGGTCGCACATGCTTGCACAGGGGGCAGGGGGGTTGTGCTCCCATTGCATTATGGGAGCAGGCACATGTGAGAGTGATTGCACTTTCAGCACACAGCGACGAAAAGGTCAGCCATCACTGCTCTAGAAAAACACGTTAAACTGGTGCACCAAGTCCTGAAAAATCTCGTGTATCATTTCAGCAACAGTTTTAATACCCAATCATCCCAGATATATATTAAACAAAATATGTCTACAGTAAGTTGCATAATTCAACTGTTTAGAATATATATCTTCCTTTTATAAAAAGTATTTTTGTTCATTCAAATAAAGGCTACAGTGAAGAAAGCATTTTTAGTTAACATTTTTATTTTTTCTTAATTGCAGTTACGAGAGCTGGAAGATAAATATGGAGAATGTATGGAAATGCTTCATGAGGCACAAGAAGAACTGAAGAATCTTAGGAATAAGACAATGCCAAATGCTATATCACGCCGTTACCATTCATTAGGCCTTTTTCCAATGGTGAGAAGTCTCATATGAAATAGTTCTCAAAAATTCACTTTGCGCCAATACTTAATGCAACTTCGATTAACTAAAGAAAATAGTTTTAGGGTTTATTTCAATATATATTCAAAGAAGCACCTGGTTTCTTGAGTTGAATCTTTTGTTAGGTAACAGATAGCATTTAAGTGTGTTACCAAAGTTACTTAGTTGCTGTACTTTCAGAATATATTATAATCAGCACTTCATGTTCAGTGTGTATTAATAGCATAATATTTTTTGATTTATGTAGTTGCCTAAAAGAATTGGCACTGTGTCATTATCAGGCAATTTTTCTTTAAAATATTCTGATTCATTTCAATTGCATAATTTCCTAATTTCAAAATAAAATATTGCCAAATATTAATTTGCACCTAAGAGGGGAATATGATTTACTATAAGTCTGCAGATACAAGAGATATTTGAGCTTGTAGTGTAAAAAAAATGAAAGTATAATTATTTTTTAAATCGGTTTGTTGAAATATGATTAACAATTATCAAATAACTGAATATCCAATGTCCAAGATAATACAGAAAAAAAATACAAACTAAAATTGGTTGTACGAGGTGCAATGACAATAAACTAACTAACTGACTAACTAGACAGGTACTCTGTACATACAAATTCTCCATATGCATGCAATACTATCATATTGTAGTTTATTGCTATTGATATAAACAATAAAATCCATTTATAACTATAAAATCTATCCAAATTTGATAGAATTTTTGTTCCTGCTTCATTATTTTAACTCTGACTTTTTTTCTAATGTAGCAATTGAAAAGGTTTTGTTATCCACTTTGTTACAACAGCTGGAGTTTTCTAATGTTCGGCAATTTATTTTAGCTATGTTTTAGCTAAAATTAAATAGATAATTATTTTTAAATATCAGATTCAGTCCTGTATAGTCAACTTATAACCATAATGGTTATCCATCCCTTGCTGTCCTGGTGTGTTAAGCTATTATCCTTGTCTCGTACCCTTTTGAATTTCATATGAGCTAGTTCAGTCACCAATAATGGCAATTTTTGCTTTCTGTGATATGTAAACAGCTTTGACTCCTTGAGTAAGATTCTTTCCAAAGTCTATTTCTCCCAGCACTTTAAACATAAAAGTCCGATTTAAATTGCCAAAAGCCACCTCTGCACAAAGCTGCCTGTTTCTCATTATGATATTGTAAATATTCAATAATGTTCAAAACAGTCCTCATATTATCTCTTAGTTGTCTTTTTGGCATGAAGCCAGATTGGCCTTCATATATATACTTGTAAAATTTTCTTTGGTCTTTTTGCCAAAACTGCAGCAAAGAGTTTATACTCCTGGTTTAATAATGAAATTAATCTATAATTCTTTGTCTTTGTAACATCAATACAATATTAGCTTCCTTCCATGTTTGAATTATGTCTCCCCGCCCCCCCAATATATCATTCATTGTATCCTTTAGTGGCTGAAGAAATTCATCTTCAAAGGACTTATAGTATTTTCTTATGGGCCTGGAGCTTTACCTGATTTAATTTTTTTATGACTTCTGATATCTTGAAGGCAGTTATTAGGACATTTATAAGTTGTCTCTGTGATAATTTAGGCAGCTGTTGTCTTAAAAGATATTCATCTATTTTAGATATATCTAATTCCGGTCTTTTATATAAATTGGAATAGAAGCTATGAAAAGACTTTTTGATAAATTCATTATCTTTTATTTCTACCTTCATTGCTACCTTCAACAGATCTTCTCAATCATTCTAACTCTTTCCTCTAAGTACCAAAAGTACTGGATTATGATCAGAAAAAGATTTAGGTAAAAGAGATAAACTTTTAAAATTTTATTTGCAACATTTTTAGAAGTTCATAACATATCAATCCTTGAAAAGATGAATGTCTTTCTGAGAAAAAGGTATATTCTCCAGCAGAGCCATTTTTGTGTGTCTATGAATCTGTTATGTAAATGTCTATTGCCTCAAAAAAGGTATTTGATAATTTACCCTGGAGAAGTTTAATTCCCTTGATGGATGTTATATCCAAAACTGGTATAGTCACTCCATTCCAATCCCCCAACATAAGCCAGTTTTCATATAAAAAGTATAAGAATTGATCCATTAAATATTCAACAAATTTACTTTTATCATTATTTGCCAACTACTGGTGATTTTATTCCATTAAGTTCAATTTCCACTACTAAATCTACCATATTTATCTGCTATAAATAGCTTTGGTTTGAGTTGAGGTTTTATATATAGGACAACTCAATTAATCTTTTTAAAATGAGCAGATATAAATTCCTCTCCTAATTATTCATTTCTTAATATGTGTTTCCTTGAAGGCAGAGTATGTCAACATTAAATTTCCTCAGGTAATGAAATATTTTTTATGCTTAGATGGGGCATTTGCACCGTTAATATTCCATGTTACGACATGGTAGATTTGTAGTGGAAATTGTAGTGGTGGAAATTGAACTTAACAGATAATCAGAGTTGGAAGGGACCTTGGAGGTCATCTAGTCCAATCCCCCACCCAAGCAGGAGACCCTACACCATTTCTGACAAATGGCAGTCCAAACTCTTCTTAAAAGTCTCAAGTGATGGCACTCCCACAACTTCTGAGGGCAAGGTGTTCTTAATGGAATAAAATCAATAGTGGTTGGCGTGTCAGGCCAAATGATGATAAAAGTAAATTTGTTGAACATCTATTGGATCACTCTTACACTTTTTGTATGAAAACTGGCTTATGTTGGGAGATTGGACTTAATCTCCATCTTTAGAGGTATGGGGTCCTGTACAAATATCTTAGCCATGCCTTCTTCTTCAATGCCAATTTTTTGAGATTATTCCACCCTACCTTCTTTTCCATATCCATTTCTTCAGCTGGATTGAAATTAGTTTGTGTCTAATCAATAAATCTTTGGCTTTTTCTATAGACTGCAGTCTAAATCTTCAATCTTGATAAGTAAGTACACTCTTTTCCCGAAAATAAGACCTATCCCAAAAATAACTCCTGGCTTGATTTTTATGTGTGCACCTAATATAAATCCTATCCCCAAAATAAGCTCTAATTAAGACCCCTCCCACTCCATCCCACCCACTGGTTATATGAGGTGTGGTAAGGCACATGCGTAAAAATCAAGCTGGGATGAGGGGGTGGAGTTGCCCCACGTACCCTGCACCTGCTTACCTTAGGACCACTGCAGCCAGGCCTCCCATGCCCGGCCCCTGTTGTGTCATTGCCTGACTTCTGTGGCCATTCGCGGCAGGAGGCTACATGGCATGACATGCCAGTGCCATCACTTGTGGCAGGACGTTATGTGCTGCGTCGTGCCAGTATCACAACGTGTGGCAGGAGCCATGTATGTTGCACCAGTGCTGCCATTTGCAGCAGGATCATTTGACTTGACAATAAAATAACCATGATAATTTAACATCAATAAACTTCTTTATTCTTTGTCAGCGTTCCAGCAAACCTCCATTCCAATCAGTAACTCCGAGACAAACATATCTCAAAAGTAACTTTATTAGAATAGCACCTGGCACATCTGTGGAATCCCGAATCTAAAAGTTTTTGGGCTTCCCACTATTTCTCAAACTATAAATCCATCCTCCCTTGGCCGTTATCACATCACATGGTCCAATCATGATCCATCCAAAAGTAAGATCCTTATTTTATCCTGCGCCATACTTAATGACCTTGAACTAACAAAATTATTTTGTCTACTTAGAGCTACTCAATTGAAATCACCCCCTCCCACTTTCTCAGGTTATGTGGCAGCATGGAATATGGCTTCCAAATCCCCCCTTGAGAAATTCACCTCCTAAAAGAGATAATAAACAAAACATAACCAGGGGTTAATGTGATGCCCTTAACCCCCTCTCCCCCCTCCAAGGGGACCCTTCAGTTTGTCAGGGAATTCTTCATGGAATTGGTTAACCAATCTATCTGCAAGTATACCCCAACTTTTTACCCAAGTAGCATCGGACAAGGGTAACCTTTCCATAATACCAAATTTTGTAATCTCCCTTGGTGTAATCTAGAATCGAAGATTTTCTTTATTTTATATTGTGTCTCACCCTGTATGATTAAAGGTTTGGGGGGAACTGCTGGTATCAGCCTTAGATTCGACCCTACAGCAGGTTTCAATAAACTACTATGGAACATTGGGTGTATTTTCCCCAATAGCCGAGGCAGACTAAAATGGACTGTCACTGGATTGATTATTTTTGATATAGGGAATGGCCTTAGAATTTAGGGCCCTCTTTCCTACTGGGAAGTTTTAACTTGAGATATTTAGTTGACCAAAACATTTGTCCCCTACTTTAAATGGTGGTTGGAGGGATCTATGTTTGTCTGCTTGTTTTTTATATTCCTCAGCAGCTTCAGTCAAAGCTTTTTTTGTGTCCTCCCAACCTTTCTTTAATGAGTGCATCCACTCGGTTAAAGACATGGATGTTGGGAGTTTCCTAGGTAATTCCGGCATAGGGACAAATTCCATGCCGGTGTTGATTTAGAACAGAGTCAAGCCTCTACTGCTGTGTACTGCATTATTGTTAGCAACTTCTGCAAATGGCAACAGCTCCACCCAGTTCTCCTGTTGATAATTTACACAGCATCTAATGTATTGTTCCACCATGGCGTTCTCTCCACTGTCCCGTTGCACGCAGGATGGAATGTTGCCAAAAGCCCTTGGGATACCCAGTGGACTTCAAAAACTCCCTCCAGAATTTAGCAGTTAACTGTACACCTCAGTCTGAGATTACTCTATGAGGTACTTCATGGAGCCTATAGATATGCTTCATGAACAGTTTCGCAAGTTTCTTAGCCAAAGGTTCCATTACTGGCTTGCTTCAAAAATAAGCCAATAACAGTCCCAATCACCATATTTCCTCCACTCTCAGGTAACTCTACGATAAAGTCCATTGTGATTTCTTCCCACGGCTTCATTGGTTCAGCTACTTGTTGAAGGAGGCCAGGGGTTTTTCCAGTTCTGTGTTTC